AGCAGTGACAATAGTAAGAATAGTAAATGTACTAGGGAAATTAACTTCTAAGTTACATCTATCTCTGCTCGAATTCACTTATTTATACACACAGCTAACAAATATAATATTTTACTGTAATGCTGCAGTAGGTGACTTTGCTGAAACGGACTATATGCTGACAGTAGCACATAAAACAGATAATCTGGGAAAAAAATAGGTACCTCCAGCTCCTGCTGGTTCTTTAATGAGCATTTGTACCACGCCTGAATGAGAATAAGCCATCAGAGCAAGGAGAGATAGTTGATTGTTTAGTCTTATTCCCAAATATGACAAAAAGTCTACAAAAATGTTACCTACTGCAGCTTGAACACCCCGGACCAGAGGGCAGCAACAACTAGCATTCCTACCTGTAAGCTACACTTTTTTGACTCCCAACACTAGAGGAGACACATCTCAAATGGTTCTGATTATGCTTTGGAATACCAGACAAATATCAATTTTTTATTACAAATATAAAGCTGAGGGTTATTGTAGTCACACCATAAGTAATTGCTGTATGTATTAAGAAACCTGTGAAGCCAGTAATTATGCAGCTATGGATTTGAAGGTAGAAGATCTGAAGATTTTCCAATGAATGAGACCAATAGGTGACAGATGGAAGCTGACAGTTTCTTCCCCATTTTGTCTCTTTAGTGGCTTCTGAAGTTGGTGGTTGTGAAGATAAATGGATGTTTCCCCTCACTGTTGTTCACTCGCATTCGCTGCAGTGTATGGAACATACAGTGATTGGGAGCGCTTCTGAATCCTAGGCAATTTAGAGCATACTTAGGCTTATTTTAAGTGGTAAGTAGTGCACAGAGTCTGTACATCACTTAGTAAAGAAGTGTTTTTTTTAACACCTCCTTGAGTCACTTACCCGCCTCTCGGTTCCACATTCAGAGGCTTTTCGTGAGGCGCGGAAGAAGTAGACCATCCCCCTCTCATCCACAGTGCACCGCCCGTCGTTCAGCTTCACATCAACCTTTCCCCCCATGTGAGCAGTCAGGTAGGGTTTTGCTATTCCACCAGTCACCAGTTTACCCAGACACTGGCTGAAAATACCTTTTTCTGGTTCACAACAAGGGTCAGAAACAAAGCAGTGAGAAGCCACAATTGCACTCTGATAACACAGAGGAAGAAATGTTTGTTGTTATTTAAAAAGAGCAACAGCTATTGAAGCTGAATGCTAAAGCCACATTCTTATTTAAACAGACCTTTCACCTGTGAAATGGCAACATGTGTCTTATTGGATATGATAAGTAATTAAAAAAAGAAAGTTTACCATTACAGACTGGATGTGAAGCCACAGGAGGCTCGAAGAAGGAGCTCACATTGTAGTAGCCATGTCGGCACACACAGGTGTAGGAGCCCAGAGTGTTGATGCACAGAGAGTTACGGGGACACAGAGTTTGGCTGGAGGAAGCACACAGATCTGGACCTGTCAAACAAGCAGTCAAAGCAAATCAGATAAATCCCAGAAAGCACAAGATTTTTAGTTT